CTTACGCAGAGGCGTTGAGCCGCAGCAGGGGCACACACAGGTCGTCCTCTCCGCAGTCCAGGATGATACGGGTCTGGAGGGACACATCGGGGTCGCTAAGGGCTAGGAAAGCAACTGTGGCCTGGAGGTGCCAGCCGCATCCTGGGACTAGAAGTAGATATTAGCACTATGTGTATCTACAATATACCAATAAATTAAAAAGCAAAACAAAATTGGAGGGCTGGAGGCCGATGAGCATGGTCTGGGGCAGTGGTGGTGAACCTGTGGCCCACATGCCACAGCGGGCATGTGCCTCCCGGAAAGCTCTGGAAAGCTGGCCAGCACCAGTCTAGAGGATACCAGGGCTTGGGGCTGAAGTGAAGGTTGGGACCATGCTGGGGTTCACTGCTCGTTGTTTTTGAGGCAGGGTCTCACTATGTCTCCAGGCTGGCCTTCAGCTCACTGTGTAACCCAGGCTGGCCTCAAAATTCGGGCAGTCTTCCTGCCTCGGCCCTTGAGTGCTCGAATGACAGGCTCCACCAGCTGTACTGAGGTCGTGGTCAGGGTGTCAGTGACAGCAGGTTTTATGAGTTTCTGTCCCTCTCAGGGATTGAGAGTCAGGGTTCATTAGGGCTTAGAGGTGATACCAGGTGTCAGGGTTTGTGTCACAGCCTCACCCTTACTATCTTTGGTGTCCCATGCCACCGTCATGCCCACCTGCTCCTGGACATGTGTGTCCCCGTGCAGCACCAGATCAGGGGCCTCCATGGGTGGCAGTGACACATTGAGGCTGAGCACAATGGGGCTCAGCTTGTCCCGGAACTCAGCCTCATCCTAGGAGGGAGGCAATCAGCACCCAGTGCCACACCCCAGCCCTGTCACTCCTGCCAGGACCTTCCCGCTTGGCTGTGTCCCTGTCCTGGACCTACTCTCAGGAAGGCGGTGGCCCTGTGGCAGACAGGGCTGTGCCTCCCACCCAGGTCCAGGCTCAGGGTGGTGCCTGCCTGCTGGGAGTCCAGGAGCAGTGCCCGGCGGCCCTGGCGGGGCTTCTGCCGGTCCAGCTGCAGCTCAGCGTTTAGCCCTGTGGGAGGCCGGGGGCTCAGCATGTATCCCTGGCTGTCCCCCTCTACCCCTTCCTGGCCACTCACGCAGTTTCTGTGGAATGTTGTGTCCGGTGGCCCCCACACACATCTGGATGCTGAAGCTGTGGAAGAGGGGTTCAGGCTTGGGCTTGGGTGCCGCCCCTCCTGCCCATTCGATCCCTGCTTACCAGCTGACTGGTGTGCTGCTCTGGGGCAGGGTGCATCTCTTCTCCGCAGGGTTCAGCGCGTCCTTCACCAGCAGCTGGACGGTGGCCATCACCACTGGCTGGGCTCTAAGGGGGAGCCAGCTGCCACTGCGGCCCTTCTGCCCAGACCCCCAATCCCTACCCTGTACTCACCTGTACACGACCACCTTGCCGGCCCCGTAGGCTCCCACCACCAGGTCTGCAGGTGGCAGATGGGAGTTAGGGGTACAGAACAGTGTGTCCCGCCCCAGAGCCCCACCTGCCCACACCCCAGCTGTGGGGTCATGACGTTGGAGCCCATCCCAGGCACTGGGCAGTCTGGCATCTCCAACGCCAAGCCTTGCTCTCTGGCCAGGGCTGGGAAGGTCACCTGGGTACCCGTTGTCATCGATGTCTTTGGCACCTCGCAGGGAGAAGCCGAAGCCAGAGCCCGCATGGAGGGGGCTGTCCAGAACTTGGGACGGCCGGGCACCCAGCCCTTCGCTCTGGCCCAGGAACAGCAGCACCTGGCCCCGGCCTCTGGAGCCCCCATAGGGGGCGGCCACTGCGACATCTGTCGGGAATCCCAGAGGGGCACTCAGGAAACTCCTGGGCTGCTTCTCTGGGCAGAACCAGTGAGTTCGTCTGGCAGGAGGGACACTGACCAAGGGATGTTGTTTGAAAAAATGACAGCCTCCCTATGAATCACAGAAAATACACTGACAATGCTAAGCACTCTCCAAATAAGTGTACTTTATACATTAAAAACAAACAAACAAACAAACAAAAAACCAGAAAATACACTGACAAGATTTAACTTGGTCCTGGGAGGCAGGCATGATGGGACTTCTTTAGTGTGAGACAGTCCCATAGACGGAGACCCAAGGGGCGCTGGGCCCCTAGCCCCTGCAGCCACACCACCTCAGAGCAGCTTGAGCGGGGCGTGGGGCGTGCGCCTGTGGTCCCAGCACTCAGAAGGCCATGGCAAGAAGATCATTATGAATTCAAGGCCACCTTGGGCGACATAGTGAGACCCTGCCTCAAAAACAGTGCCCCTCCCCCCACTAAAAATCAAAAGCAGTAAAATAAAAAGAGCTGGGACTTAGCTTAGTGGTTGTGCACACGTGATTTTGAATACAAATCAACCAATAAAACAGTTCTTTGGACTTTTTAGGAATTAAGACTCTGTGGGCCGGGGAGATGGCTCAGTGGAATAAGCGCTTCCCTGGCAAACGCAAGGGCCTGAGTTCAATCCCCAGTTCCGGGGGGAAAAAAAAAAAAAAAAAAAAGACTCTGTACTCCACCCTAGGCTGAAGCCTGAACTATATACTGACCATTGTCCTATGTCCCCAGGCCTTGTTTTTGTTACTGTTTTAGTTTGAGACTGGATTTCACTAAGTTGCCCCATCTTGCAGTCCTCCTGCCTCAGCCTCCAGAGCATTATGGCGTGGAGCACCCTACCAGGGTTGGGCAAATTCTGGATATCTACACTGAAACTCTCTTTCCTGTGTCTCCTAATTTGTTTATGGCTCATTTATGTTTTTTTTTTTTTTTGTGTGTGTGTGTGTGTATTTTAGGGAAGGGTCTACAGGGTGTTCAGGGTCTCACTACTAGATGGGACTCAGAGTGCTCTGCCTGTTTACAGCCTCCCAAGAGCTGGGATTACAGGTGTGCACCACTATGACCATTCTCATAATAAACTTTTCTCTTTTTTATTTTTATGATACCTGTGATCAAACTCAGGACCCTGAGCTGGCCAGGCAGGTGCTTATGCCACTGAGCTATCTTCCCAGTCCTTATTTATGTTTTGAGTGCTTCTTTTCCTTATTTATTTATATTTGTCTTTTTGAAACAGGGTCTCACACTAAGCAGTTCAGGCTGGCCTTAAACTCATTTTGTAGCCCAGCCTGGTCCCTAACTTGCAACCATCCTCCTACATCAGCCTCCTGAGTGCTGGGATCACAGGTATATGCCACCATGCCTGAGCTTTTTCCCTTTTACATATTTAGTATTTTTTTTTCTTTTTCTTTTTTTTTTTTTTTGGTGGAATCGGGGATTGAACTCAGGCCCTTGCCAGGGAAGCACTTATTCTACTGAGCCATCTCCCCAGCTGGCTGGCTGGCTGGCTGGCTTTCTTTCTTTTTCTTTTTCCTTTTTTTGTGGGAGAGGGTTTCACTTTGTAGTTCAGGCTGGCCCTGAACTCACTTTGTAGCCCAAACTGGCCTTGAACTTGCAGAAAGCTTGCTGCCTCAGCCTCTGGAGTGCTGCGATGACAGGGGTGTACCACCAGGTTTGCTTTTTCTTGCCTTTCTGATCAGGTTACACAGCACAGCACTGCGGTCTTGGAGCGCCTCCCGTGCCTGGCTTCCCCACTCTCCCAAATATTTCCATCCACAGTCACAGCTGCAGTCCACACACCGCTGAGCTCTGGGTCTCAAAGTCCCCCACTGCTCTTCCCCACACACCGCTGAGCTCTGGGCCTCAAGGCTCTGCTTCCTTCCACTGTTCTTCCCCTACTCCCAGCCTCACCCCGCACACCCCAGCAGCAAGTTTCCCCAGCGCGCCAGGGACCTCTCCCACTACTCCTGCTCCCAGCAGCTCCGCCACTTCCCCGTCAGGAGCACCTTCTCCCAGCACCAGGATCCCCACAGCTCTGCAGGGCGTGCCTGTCTCTCTCCTCTTCTGCTGTTTCAGGGCTACCCTTGGCATCTGCATACTTCCTGGGAGCCCTCTCTGAGGAGGTAGGGGCCAGGGCTCCCTTCATAAGGGCCTGTGGCCTAGCTGGGTCTTCCCTTTGCCCAGGTTTTTTTCTCCCTAAGTCCTAAAGGGCTGTGAAATTCTTCTTCAACCCTATCTTGACGTCTGCACCCCGCTGGTCATCTTGCCTGGGTGAAGGCAGCCACACCACACTGGTCTCCTCTGACTCTGTCCTCTGCCCTTGGCAGCTGGGCTTTGGGCTCCCACCCACGGAGTCCCATCTGTCTGCTGCAGCCTTTTCTGGCTCTTGTTGTCTGTCACTTTCCACCCTTCTGTCCTCACCATTGTATCCATCCAGGTTGAGGTCGCCCAGGGGTGCGATGGCTGAGCCAAACCGCCCATAGAGCTGTGTGCCGGTCAGCAGGAGGCTGGGGGTGCCCAGCATGTGGGGGGTGGGGGGCTGCAGGAAGAGGTACACGCGCCCCACCTCAGCCAGCTTGCGGTCAGCCCAGCTGTCCATGAACAGTGGGGCACCCACCAGGAGGTCGTGCCTGCTGCAGGTACCACAGGAGGAGCCACATCAGTGTGAGTCAGGAAGGAGGGGACCCCGCTCGGTAAGGTGGGCTCCCTCCTTCTCACCCATCCCCATTGACGTCAGTGACGGCCACAGAGTGCCCAAAGTAGGAAGCCATCTGCAGGATGCAGGAGGAAGGTGCCTTAGCCTGTGCTGCTGCCCTCTGGCCCTCCCTTCCTGTGGTCCTCCAAGGCCAGAGGGCTAGGCACCTGCTCCCCATGCAGGCGGCACAGCATCTGGTGGTGGGAATCCAGGATCTCCACCTGTGAGGAGGGTGCAGCTTGGTAAGAAGGCAGCAGGGTGGTGCCCGGGCGAGTCCAGGCTTCAGGGTACAGAGCGCACTCACCGCTCCCAGCGTCCAGCTCCAGGTGGGGGCACCAACCACGTACTCTAGGGAGAGCAGGGAGTAGTTGAGACTCTGGGGGTGTCCTGGCATTGCTCTCCTTAACCTCCCCAGACCCTGTGGGACCAAGGGGCTCTCTTGCCTGGAGTTCTCGGGTCCCCGTTGAACTCCCCCGCCGCCACGGCATATCCTGGGGACAGAGAGGGAGTGAAAGCCCAAGCTGGGAGGGAGCCACAGGCTACCCGGCCCAGAGCTACTCTCTGTCTGGGTGGAGAAGCGGAGCCGGCACGGGTGGAGCAAGGGCGCGTGACCCAGGAAGAACGGGAAGGGCAGCCGCATTACCCCGGTAGCTGTCGTAGAGCTCGGGGTCGCTGGAGTCAAAGGTGAAGCGCTGCCTGGGCACGTTCCACAGGAGGGTGGCGGGCCGGTAGCTCGAGACGATGTCGGCGATCCGGGCCCGGGCCAGGAGACCTGGGCGGGATGAGCGAAGCGGGTCACCGCTGGCCGGCCGGCCGCGGGGGGCGAGGTCAGAAGGGAGTGGCACCTACCTAAGAAAAAGTAGCCGCCAGGGGCCCCCAACACTAGCTCACCATCCTGGAAGGGAGGCCCGAGTGAGAGCCGCATTTGGGCGGGACCTGCCCCGAGCCGCCGGGCTCCCCACTTGCCTGGGTGACCACCGAGCTGAAGCCCGCTTCGCAGTATCGCTTGTCTTCGCCTAGGCGCGAGAAGAGTTGGAAAAGGCCGATCAAGCTCAGCACCGTGCCCGGGAGCTGAGCAGGAGTTCTGAGGGGGCGTGGCCATGCTCGAGGGGCGGGGCTAGGAGCAATACGGGGCGTGGCCTCCGACGGTGGGTGGGGCCGGCCTTGTCAGGCCCACGCGGGATGGGGAAGCAGGGCCGGGGCGGGGCGGGGCCTACTGAAGTGCCGGTCCTTATACACTCGGCTCATTGTGTTGGCTCGGCATGGTGAGTATTCTTTGCGTCCGCTGCTCCGGAGCTGGGCCAAGAAGCAACCGCCAACGGGAGTCTTCTCGGCTTCCTGGGTCTTTTCCAGGACGTTCCAGTGCTGCCAGGGTGCGCAGGCCTGCAACAGCACGGAAAGTGGGGAAGGGCGGCTCGCCCCTGCCCGCCTGCCTGCTCGCCCTGCGTCCTGCCCGCAGTGCCTACCACGATGGTGTCGTTCCAGCTGGCGACCGATGCCCCGAGGCCTTGCTTCTCCTTGAAGACCTGGAAGGTCTGGGAGCTCGCGTTTCGTGTTTCGTCCTCTAGGGGCAGTAGGGAGCGGGGCCCTGAGGTATCTGTCTCATCCCGCGCGCGTTCCCATCCCGCTCAGCCCCGCGACTCACGGAGGTCGAAGACCAGCGGGGAGCAGGAGCCACCGGCCGCGCTCCAGGGGCACAGGAATACAGCGCCTGTCTCCTCTTGGCCGCGGGCCCTGGTCCTCGGAGCGCCCACCACAACGGCGACACTGGGTGTCAGGCGATGGGGTGTGAGTGAATGCGCAGACCCCGCACCCCGCACCTTCGGGGAAGGCGGTGCAGCACCTCGGGCCCTGTGCTCACTCACACTGACTCTGGGGACAGACAGGCTCAGGGCGAGGGGCTGCGCGCCCATAGGAACCTACAGCGCTCTGTGAGATTGTGTGCGTGTGTGTCTTTTTGAGACAGGGTCTCGCTGTGCAGTTTCCGCTGGCCTTGAGTTCGCTTTGTAGCCCAGGCTGGCCTTGAACTTGCAACTGTCTTTCTGCCTCAGCCTCCTGATTGCTGGTATACAGGTGTGCACCACCATGCCTGGCTTGAGCGTGTGATTTGAGAGGCTTTGAGAGTTCCCCAGTCCTGTCAAGACCAGGCTTCCCTGCATCTGACCTGGCTTCTCCGTTGACTCCAGGGCGCCCTTTCTGGAGAGCTGGGGCAGTAGGCAGGGTGGGGCAGGCTGAGTGGGCTCGGGGTGCTGACAGAGCTGAGGACCCGCACACATCACTTTGGGAAGCCCATTACATCCATGTGTGAGGGGTACAGAGCATGGCCCCAGCCAAGTGCTCCAAAGATGCTGCTGGTAGACACAGGCCAACAGGATGGGGGCGTTGCCCATGAGTCCTCAGCTTGAGAGGAGAAAGTGGCAGGTGTGGCAGGGAAGGAGGGTGGGGAAGCATGCTGTGGACCAGCGAGAGGCCTCAAGGCTTTTGTGAGTTGCTGCAGGAGCCACCGTGGGAGGGCCAGACTCCAAGCCAAGGCAACTCTTTGGCAGAGGAGACCTGAAAGGGGCTGCCCTTGAAGGCTGTCTGCCATTGCCGCTGCCACTGCCCAGAAGCCCACATCCCAGTGTCTGCAGCAAGTCACACAGGGTGATGCAGCTATCAAGAACAGGTAGGGGGGCTGGTGAGATGGCTCAGTGGTCTAAAGCACCTACTTAGAACAAGCTTAGCAAAGCACAGGGACCGCGGTTCAATCCCCCAGCACCACATGCCAGCCAGCCCCGCCCCCTGGTGGGCTGAGCTGGCCACACACACACACACACACACACACACACACACACACAAATAAATAAATAAATAAAGAACAGGTAGGGCTCTCATTGTGGCAATCAGACTCAAAGCTAGGTCAATGCCTGCCATGAGTGACCTGTCACACTTTTGTAGAGCTCTATTATGCTGGCCTGGAGGCGGAGCAGAGCAGCACAGGTCAGTGGCTAGACAGCCAGGATGTGTGCCCCTCAACGTTTGGTGGGATACACAGCTGACCCCTGGGGAGGCCCTGGCCTTTGGTCTTCTCTGTCCTTGCTGCAACCCCAGGGCCCATCTGCTTCTGCCCCCTCCCTGAGAACCCCTCCTCTGCTCAGCTGCTGCACAGGAGGGTTTCATGGGATCCTCCTTGCTGTACCCATGCTCCCACCTCACCTCCCGAGGCTGTCCTTGTGGATGTCCACTGAGAACCCAAAGTGGCTGCCGTTGGGGCCTGAGTAGAAGGTGAGCCGGGCTGCGTCCAGGTTCAAGGCCCAGGCTGCAGGGACAGCAGGTCCCAGAAGCCACAGTGCACACAGCAGACACAGCCCTTGGGCCATCTTTCCTTCTCAGTGTCTTCAGGAGGAATGGCCAGCTCTCTGTCCTTCCCTGTGGCTCCACCACAGCAAGTCTCCTCAGACTGGAACCAAAGCCAAAGTGCTGAGCAGGGGCAGAGTGAAGGGCTTTGGGCCTGACCCCAGTCTCCAGGATTGCAGGAATGGGTTAGGCTGTCCTGGGGGCTGCTTATAGCCCAAAGCTGTAACTCCTCCCTTTCCTGAGGGCTCCGCCCTTCTAGTCTGGACCTTCACTGCCTCCCCATCACCCCACTGACTACCATCACTGGATGCTTGGGATAGTGCAGCTGTGAGCTGACTGGTTGACCCATGTCCTCCCTGGCCCCTAGTTCTGCAGTTCATCCCCTCAGCTGATTGCCAGAGTGAGAGGAAGCTACTGTCCAGTTAAGACCTGTGGCTGCTGTCCTGTCTTGTGTGATAGGTGCTTATCCATTTCCTCCTCAAAGCCTTGGCCAACCACATGATGTGCTGTGGCCTCCATCCTGAGCCCTGTCTGCGTGTGGCCGGGCTGGCACGACCAGTGTGAGGGATGACGAGTCACTCTAGGGCATTCTGAGGTAACGCACCACCGTCCCAGCTGCTGAAGGGAGGCCTGCAGTCCTCAGGTGACAGAGCTCATGTCCCACCACTGAGACTTGATTCTGCATGGGGTCACTGCCTAGGGGAGGCCTCCCTGGCTCCTTGGGGTGGCACCAGGCCTAACAGACCTGGGCACACAACTGTTGGGGCATTGGTCATACTCTTGGCGTGTTTCCAAGATTGTGTAAACTAAACTTTTTGTGGCAAGATCTGACCATGTAGCCAGGGCTGGCCTTGAACTCACTTCTGCAGCCTGTCTCAGTCTCCTCAGTAGTGGAATTAGAGGCCCATGCCACCACGCTCTGCTCTAAACTGGACTCCCCCCACCCCCAGTACTAGGGATCAGACTCAGAACAAGGCAGGAACTTGTCTCAAAAATAAAAATGTAAAACACCGGGATATAGCTCTATGCAAAAGCCCAGTATAACCAAAAAACAAGAACAACAAAAAAACCCCTTTCTGCTCTAAATTCATCTCTTCCCATTTTGTCACCTTGTTTGCATTTTCCTCAGTGTGGACATTATCAGTTTTTTTTTTTTTTTTTTGGTCCTTTTGAGACAAGGTTGCACTGCGGTTTAGGCTGGCCTCATCTCACTTTGTAGCCCAGGCAGTGACAGGCATGTACTACCACATGCTATCACACCCACCCAGCAACTGTTCAGTCTTTCAGTGATGCTGGGCTCTTCACTAGGCCTTGGGGCCAAAGAAAGGAACCTTGCTTTTAGGGGCTGGGAAGCATCATATTTCCTTTAGTCACTAGACAGCCTAGATGCTCCAATGTGGGGATCACAGGCAGGTGAGGAAGCAGCTCTCAGAGGCTGCTTGGGAACTACTGGGCTTACTTTCATGCAGATTTTGGTAAATTGCCCAAGTGTACATGGCTAGTGGGTGGCAAAACCAGGATTCCAATGCAGACGCTGTCAGAGGGCAGGGCCTTAGGCATAGAGAAATAGAAGGGACAGCAAGAGCTCACAGAGGTCAAGTTTAAGGAAGGGCAGGTAATGGGCTCATACCATTCAGAGTTGTTAAGGGTTAATAACTTTAATCCACAGGAGATACAGAATCAAAGATCTGTTTTTTTCTAAGAGTCCCCCCCCTCCAACCCCCGGAACCGGGATTGAACTCAGGCCCTTGAGCTTGCCAGGGAAGCGCTTATTCTACTGAGTCATCTCCCCGGCCTGTGTTTTGAGACAGAGTCTTGCGATGTAGCTCAGGCTGGCCTCAGCCTCTCCAGCGCTGGGATTCCAGGGACATCACCATACCCTGTTGTTGTCAGGGTTTTCAGTCAGAGTGAGGCAGTAATTGATCAGTTGGCCTCCATGCTAGCTGGCTGTGGAAAGAAGGAAATGGAGGGAAAGAGCTTAGTGGGAAGGCCATGGGCCTGGCCCAGATACTGGTCACACGAGGAAGAGCAGTGAGGACTGGCTTGGCAACTGGATGTGACAGAGAGCGGTGCAAGCAACTCTGAGCTGGAGGGACAGCAGTAGGACCCAAACCCCACTAGAGTGGTGGGGCGCTGGTGTCCCATAGGATACGTGGTGGAGCTGTGCCCAGCCGGCTTGACAGACAGCAGGCTCGTCACTCTTGGACTTTGCTGACTGCAGGTCTTGTCAGGACTTCAGGTCATCAGCAGTTTGGAGCAAGGTGACATGGAGAGTAGAGGAACTGTTTTCTCTCTTGCCAAAGCTTGATTTGTAACAGCAATAATGAAATCCTGCTCTGCTCATCTTCCTTCAACACATAAGCGAGTGTTTACCAGGGACTCAACTTCATGTATGACTCTAGAAACTAATGCTGGTGACAAGTGCGGGAGACCACTGGGTTCCAAAAAGCTAGCAACATCCAGAGGGCCACAGAATCCCCCCACCCACCCGCATACCGGAACTCATAACCAATCTCCCTGGCCTGGGCCACAGAACTTGTTGCTGGGGCCAGGCAGGCTGCCAGAAGGCCACATGATACAGAGGCAGGGTGGGCTGACTGGCTCAAAGGTCTCCCGAGGTATAGATGGGGGTGCCTGGGTCCACATGGTGCTCTCTCCCTGGGTCCTTCCTCCTTGCCAGCCCTCGCTCCACTAACAGCCGGCAGCACAGCGAGTTCTAAGAAGCCAGCCCCAGGTTTCAGGTGGGTCCCTTCCCTTCGGAGGAGATCACAGTGACAGTGAGAGGCAGAGAACAGACCTCAGGAGCTCCCCTGAAGGCTGAGAGGACATCACCACAAACTATGGCAGCTTCTCTTGCTGACCTTCAGCCTCTTGCCACCGTGTGACCTGGATTTGTGGCACTCTGTGGCTTGTCTCATCAGGTAGAAGTGCTCAGGACCCATGGCATCAGCTTAGAATGCCTCGGCTCTTGAGTTAACCCGAAATCTACGCAGCCAGAGACTGGGCAGCCGCACAGAACATGTCCTGCTAGATCACAGACCACGCTCCAAAACAGGGAAGCTGAGACAGGCCTCAGAGGCAGCCCCTCCCGGGCCGTCACCCCGGGGTTCAGCCTGGGCAGCAGCCCTCTGCCCACAGCCAGTCCTCTCTTGGTGGTCCGCAGTTTCACAAGCAGAATCTAGACGTGCACAGGCAGTTCCCAGGAATCTTCACTTTCTTTTAATGTATTTGGTACAGGGGTTCACTACGCAGCTTGGACTCATAGTGATCTTCCTGCTTTCAGCCTCCCCAGCGCTGGGATTACAGGTGTGCAATCCTCAGTCAATTCAAACAAGATGTTACTTGTAAGATGGGTGCGGTGGCGCATGCCTGTCACCCCAGCATGGAGGAAGGTTGAGGCAGGAGAATGGGTGGCCAAGTTCAAGCCTCTCACGGTCAACTTAAAGAGACCCTGTGTCAAAATGAGTGAAAAAGGGCTGGGGACATAGCTCTGTGGCAGAGTGGCCGGGGGTATCTGGAGCCCACAGTTCTACCCTTCCCGACTTGAGCTGCCCGGGCAGCAATCACAACAGACTCAGCTGCTATGTTTCCACACACCGCTGGTTTATTAGAAAGCTCCTTTCTCCCTTTACAGCATATACTGCTATCATATGCGATGAAGTTAAATACAATCTGTTATGCTTGTAAGAACAGGTTATTTTATTTTTCCTTTTTAGGTTTTAAAATCACTCTTCTGGAGATTGAATAAAACTGCCCTAGGAAGGCGGAGAGGTGGCCAGAGCACACACAACCCAATCTGCAAGCGGATGGGAAGCAGCACAAAAGCTAACACTGTACTGTTTATACTATTATGTGGGCTGAAGGAGAGTGAAGTGGGCCCCTCTGGCTGAGCCAGAGGACTCGGCTCCTCCAGGGATGGCCGTGCAGGGCGCTTGCCTCGCAGGCAGACGAGAGGCGGCGCTGCCTGGGGAGGGGGAGTGCACAGGGCTTCTGGGCGCAGACCCTTTCCTCAAGAAGCTGGTAAGATGGCAGGACACGGAGGCTTGGGCCAGGAGAGCTGAGTTCCTCTTTCCAGCCTGCTCACCACTCGGCCTAGGCTAGCCACAACCAAATGGTGGGCAGGGACACAGCAAGACACTGGGGCCTGTGAGCCAAGCACCTTGGGTCAGGGGAGCCAGAAGAGGGATGTGGCAGGAGGCATCCGTGGTCAGAGAAGGGAAAGCAGCCTGCGCCATGGAAGCCTTGCTGGGCAGAGGGTGCACGGTGGGAAGTCCAAGAGGTACAGCGTCTGAGCAGAAGAGGAGCAGATACCACTTGGCTGACCCCCTGGCTACTGCTCTTCAGGTTCCAGCCCACTGAAAAGGCACATGGGAGAGACTGCCAGAGGCTAAGTAAGCACTGGGAAGGCGCGGGACTCAGAAATCCAAGGTCCCAGTCAGCCTGAATCTTAGTGCTCCCAGAGAACAAGGCTGCGGGGTCCCCTCTTTGCTGTAGGAAGCAGCGGCAGCACCTGCCTGTCCGCCAGGAAGGGAGAATGTGCTGCCAGCCCCAACCTGCAGCTGCCCGCCTTGTCTGGGACAGGATGGGGCACCACTTACTGTACAGTACTGGACGGCTCATGTTCTCATGGTTCCTAACTTCGAAGAACACACGAGCTTGATAAAATATACATGATTAGTCATTTTTGTATCTAGCAGAAAACAAAAACTTTATTTTTTTGTTTTCATTTTATAACCCTTAAAGATTCTTACTTCAACTAGGGCAAACATATTTACACAAAGCCACCAGAACAAGGATCACTTAAAGAGCTGGATGTAAAAAATATTATTGCGGTATACTACAAATATGGAACCTTTTTATATGAGCTACAAAAAGCAGCATTTATGTTCATAGAGTTCAGTGCAATTTTTACATTAAAAAATTCTATAAATTAAGAAGGAAACATCAACACAACAGAAGACACACCTTCCGACTAGTGCCCGCCCTGGGGAGCACCCGGTGAGGGTTGTGAGGCCTGCTCAGGAAAGGCTCCGTTCTCCTGGGCTGCACAGAGGCCTCTCCTGGATGAGGGACTGAAGGCCTAGTGCCAGGAAGTGGACCACGTGGCCAACTGGGCTGCTCCAGTTCCAGATCCTATTTCCTTTTGGCCTCAATCAGGCAACAAGTCACCAAGGGACGTGGAAGGCACGTGCCCTAGGTGGCGGAGCGTTCACCATGGGGCAGGAGCGGGGCACCAGGAGTGCAGGGCCAGATGGGCCTATGACTTCCCAGGGACCAGAGATGGGACAGTGTCTTGAGGTTCGTAGAAGGGAGGAGCTCAGGATAAAAAGGAGAGGCAAAGGGAGATGAGGTGAGGGTGATGACCTGGAGGCGTCCCTGCACACAGGGAGCTCCCTAGCTAAAGACATAGGAAAGAGAGGATAGAGAGAATGCACAAAGGGAAATCCCTGATAGTAAACACAAAGCAAGTCTCATTCTCAGCCCAGTACTACATGCCAAAGCTCGGCTCTTTGGCTCCCAGACACTGCCTGCCCAGTGTACACGCCTGGCACTGGTGGCTCCACACCCCGAGGGAACTCTCAGGGTACCTTCCCTGGTGGAAGGCTCCCACGCCCAACTCAAGTGCCATGGCTGGGGGGATGCTGCAGGTCCTGACCTGAGAAGATGGGGTGCAGCAGTGGGTGGAGATGAAGGGCGGTGGCAGCTGCCGCAGCAGGCCGAGGGGCAAGCAGAGTGGGGTAGAGGGCAGCATGTGGAACTGGGTGAAAGGCAAAGGGACCAGGGTGGATGGCAGAAGCAGGGATGATGTGGATAGGGTGGCTGGCAAGAAAGGTGGCGGGGTGGCCAGGGATGATGGAGTGAGTGAGGTGGGATAGGGAGATGGGTGTCAGGTGGGGCTGGGGGATGTGGTGCACCTGGGCCAGAGGCTGGGGGTGAGCATGGGGGTGGATACCAATGGCTGCTGCGGCAGCAGCAGCATGGTGTTGCAGGATGGCATGCTGGACCGTGGTGATAGAGGTGGCCGAGGCTGTGGCTGGCTGCTGGATGTGGATGGGCTGCAGGGCAGGTGTGGCGGGGGCCAGGGCAGCCGAGGCCGGGAAGGCCTTCACTTGCTTAGCCAGCAGCTGCTGCTGGATGTGCTGCTGTGCAGCCTGCTGGAGCTTGCTGTACTTCTCCATCTCCTCTGGTGTGAAGGTGATGGGCTGGCTCTCCAGGGGGGCCAGCGAGGCATCCTCGGCCCCCTCGATGGACTCAATGCTGGGCTCCCCGCTGGGGGGCGCATAGCCTGCAAACTGCTCCGGGTCGGGGGCTTCTACAGGGCCCGGCTGGCTGCTGCTCTCCAGAGACTCCAGGGGGTCCCCGTCACTGGGCTCAGGGAGGTAGCTACGGGAGATGGCTGGGTCCCCGGGGTAGCAGTCAGAGTGCGCTGGGGTACCTAGTGGAGCCACAGGGTGGTCAGCAGGAGCTTCTTCGGACTTAAACTCTTCTGGAGGTGGGTCAGATAACAGACCAGCAGTGTCCTCCGAAGGGAGCAGGCGCCCACTCCCGGGGGGCCCCTCTTCCGGCTCAGACTGGTCTTGTTCTTCCCCCCTTTCCACCCCAGACTCCTCACATTTCCTGTTGGGCTTTCGGGTAGCTGGGAGCTTCCCTATCAGTGGAAGGACAGGCTTGCTGCCCAGAGAAGGGGGAAGCTTGGGTCCAAAGTAACCTTGTGGGGGATCCTTGAGCTTAAGCCCAGCCTTACTGGAGGTGGCCAGCACCTCCTCGCCCACACTGGGTTTCCGTTCCCCTTTCCTAGACTGCACCTTCTCTAGGAGCAGTTTTGCAGTGACAGAATTCTTATCCGCAGGGCTACAGTCACTTTCTGACTCTCTTCCCACACTGGTGTTGCTGTTCTGGGGTGGGCCTGTCCCTTTCCTGTCATCTCCTCGGCCATCATCTTTCTTCCCAATACCTTCGCCCCGGCCTGACCGGAAGTAGTGAGGGGACTGAGAGCGATAGATCTTGGAGCGAATGAAGTCCCGGCGGCCAGGTCGCCGGTTCTCAGGGCTTTCGTGGCCCCACGACCCCTTCCTGGAGCCGGACCTCTGGGAAGGGCTGCGTGTGCTGCGGCTTCGGTCTCGGCTGTAGCTGCGGCTGCGCTGCCAGCTGTGTGCAGTGGTGCTGCGGCTCCTCCGCTGGCTCCGGCTATGGCTGCTGCTGCGGGACCGGGACCGGGAATGCTCCCTGGAGCGGCTCCGCGATTGGCTGCCGGACTGGCTGCCGCTGAGGCTGTAGTCATCTTCGGAGGACGAGTACTTGCGGCGCTTGGAGTGGCGTTTGGGGCTGGTGTAGTCCGAGTCGTCCGAGTCCTGAGAGCGCTTAGAGTGCCGGCAGGAGCGGTCACTGTAGTCGCTGTAACTGTCATCAGAGTAGCTGCGGGGCCTGCTGTAGCAGCTTTGGTCTGAAGACTCTGCTGAGCTGCTGGAGTAGGAGCGGTGGGAGGAGCGGCGGGAGGAGTGGTGGCGCCCTCTGGAGCGACTGCGGGAGCGCGAGCTGCCGGAGTCCTCCTCCTCGTCCTCGCTGTACTGGGATGGCGACTCCTGGCGGGGCCGGTGGGACGTGTCACCGTCACTGTCCTCGTCTCCACTGCTGGGCCGGCTATGGCGGTGGGGGTTGCCTGTCCTTGGGGTGCTGGCCCGGCGTTGGCATGAAGCGGCTGGGGGCTCACCCCGGTGCCTGCGCCCGCTACGCTCCTGCGCACCTCCGCCAGTGTCCTGCTGGCCCCCGCTGCCCTGGTCAGTGGTGGGCAGGGGTCTCCGCTGGGACTCTTCCCGCCGCCGCCGCCTGGGTGGGGGAGGGCTTCCGCTGCCAGGGGGCTCTGGCTTGGGGTCCCGCTCCGAGTCGGCCCCGCCCGCGGACTTCTTCTTTCGTTTCCGTTTCTTGCGCTTCTTGGACTTCTCGCTGGGCTCAGCCCTAGAGCCTTTCTCCTCTGGGTCGGCCTTGTGCCTGCGCTTGTGCTTTCCAGACTTCTTATGTTTCTTTTTCTTCTTGTGCCGGTGTGCCCTCCCAGGGCGCTCCTTCCGGCTGCCCCCACTCCGCATCGTGTCCTGGGGTGCCAGGCTGTGGCTGCTCCCGGGCTCGGGCCCAGCAGGAGCAGCAGATGGCCCCACGGTCACACTGGCTTCCCCAGCATCCTTGTCTCCACTTGGTCCCTCCACCTCTGAGCCTGGGAGGGGATCCCTGGAGGGGCCGCCGGAGTCCTTTGCTCTTTCTGCCCCTCTGGGTCTGGTATCCTTGTTCCTGGAGAGCTTAAAGTCAAAGTAGAGAGGGTTGCAGCTGTAGGAAAGGGAGGGCTCAGCCTTGGTGAAGATGAGCAGCTCTGATGGCCACTGAAGGGCCGTGCTCTCGTCCTTGCTCAGCACCGGAAAGAAGGGCCCAGTCGGGTGGCGGGGGCCCTCCTGGCTGTCCCTCCCTGAAGCACTGGCCCCGGGCACACAAGATTCTTTGGTGGGCTCGGGATCGCACAGCTGTGCCTCCAACGACCCAGGGGCACCCTGCTGCCCTGGGCCCTGCTCCCCAGTGTATCCCATAGGTGTCTTCCAGGCCTCAGTTCTGCCCCCAGGCTGGGCAAGTTCAGCTTCCTCCGTGGCCTCCTTCTCTATTTCCTTTGGTTCCTTGGGGGGTTCAGAGCTGTCGCTGGGCCCTTGCTCTGCTGCTTGGCTGAGGGGCACCCTGGCAGAGCTCTTCGGCTTGGGGGAGCTGCTCTTCCTGCCATCCGGGGCACCTTTGTTGGGGTGTGCACTGGCCTCACCGTCCATCTGCTCACTGGCCCGCATGAAGAGCAGGAAGGGGAAGTGGGGCTTCACCTTGCAGTGCGCTGGTGGGATGTAGTGGTAATACTCGGGCTCTACGGCGCCTGTGCCCTCCTCCCGCCGCATCCGCTTCAGCTTGGACAGCGTGGAGGCCAGGGCTCCACCATCCTGCGGGTCTTCCTCATCCTTCTTGCCCTCAGTGTTCCCACCCCCATCAGTGTCTCCTGCCTTCTGCAGCGCTTGATCAGAACCCTTCTCTTCGGGCTTTGTTCCTTCCTCAGAGGACCCTTCTTCTGCATGGTCCTTAAAAACTGAAGCTATGGATTCTAATTTGACAGGTGCCTTCTTGGCAAAGGAAAACGACACCCCCAATTTCTGCAATGGGGTCCCCAGGTTGTTCTTAAAGCTGAAACTGACACCATGGGTGGCTGGCCCTGAAGCCTGTGGCAGCCCTGTGGAGCCTATGGCTGGAACTGCAGTGAAGGGGCCTCCCTTCTCTGTGGAGAACTCGGAGCCCAGGCCACATCCTATGGCAGACCCTGAGCCACTGGCTGACTCCTCCTTGTCCTCATCTCCTGCTTCTTCGTCCACGGCCACTGTGGTTGGTCGGAACATGGGGCCACTCCCAGGTGCGCTGTGTAGTGGTTCAGAAAAGACAGAAACAGGCTTAGGGGCGCAGAATAGGAATGGCAAGCACTTTCCCTCCTGCCGCCTCTGCAGGACAGGTCTCCTCCATCCCACTGTGCTGACCAACAAACAGCACAGATTCGGAAGGGGCACATGAGCCATGGCCCATGCCCACTGTTCCCACCGCTGCTGCTGCTTCAGCTCCCAGCTTCCTGGCCCCTACACTATCCCAACAGTCTGCCTCCATCTTGTCCTGACCGGTGTGCAAAGGTATGCTTGCACATCTATTAACACAGGTCCTATTTCATTCAGCTAAAAAACCCTCATCTTCCGAGTGCTGGCTTTTTTTTTTTTTTTGGGAGGGGGGTGTTTAGACAGGGTCACACTATGTAACTGAGGTTGATTAACTTGTGGTAATCTTTCTGCCCTAGCTTCTCAAGTGCTGGAATTACATGTGTATGCCAGTCACACCTGGCTAAATTTCACTCAAAAAAAAAAAAAAAAAAAAAGTATATATTCTGAATTAAACACAGAAACACCAGAAACCTATACTGTGCTATTCCATGGCACTCTGCAGTCAGTATAAAAATCATGCCTTAAATAAATAAAAAAAAATCCGTGCCTATCCATCAGGGCACAACCTCAAATATGGACTTCAGTTCTGAGACAAAGTGGTCCCTATTATCCACAAGACATGGCTCAAGACTTCTGATGCTGCCTGAAATCATGGAGGGTGTCAAGACCCTAGACTGTGTTTTTGGTAAATACACCTATGAAAAAGTTTATAATTTAGGCAAAAAAGTCCCCAAACAACAATAATAAAACAGTAGTTATAATTGTTGGATCTGGGTCTGGTGGTATACACTTGTAATCAAACTACTCAGGAGGCTGAGAAATAAAAAGTAAAAGGTGCTGAGGATCTATGTTCGTGTTCACTTGGATTCATCCCTCAGAACTGTAGAAACAAGGTGCGGTGGGGGCTCTAACAGTGTACTGCACTAACAGTTATATGAATTCAATCTCCCACTTCTTGTCTCTGGCCAGGCAGCATCCGGAGCACGGATCTGCTGGGCACAATAATTCCTGTCCCAAGCACTGCCAGAGTGGGACAGTTCAGAATTTATCATACTACTTGTAATGACACACAATCTAAAACTTACTATTTATTTCTGGTATCTCCATTTAATACTTTCCAGCCACAGATTCCTACAATAACTGAAACCTTGGAAAGAGAGACTCATAGGAACTGCCGTATTTTCCAGGAACAAAGAACAATGCCACAATGTCATCAAGCTCTCTTCCAGCTCTGGCAACAGGAATCAGTGTCACGGGCATGTTTTAATGCTCCAGAGATAGGTCGCCTGAAATGCCCATAGTAAGCAGACTACCAGGGCGGGACGGGGGACTCTGAAGTCTGAGGCTGAGAACAAAGTAGAAGCCAGGCATTGTACACACAGCTATGATTCTAGATACTGTGTGCCCAGGGCAGAAGGATGGCAAGTTCAAATTTAGCCTGGGTAACTTACTGAGATTCTGAAAAAAAAAAGGCTAGAAATATAGGTTAGCACTAGAGCATTTTCTCCCTACTACTACTACACTGAAAAACCCCAAGCTACCATACAGATAAAGACTTTGTCGCTAGGTGTGGTGGTGCCTGTAATGCCAGCACTTGGGAGGCTAAGGCAGGAGGATCACTGCTAATGCTAGACAGCCTGTGCTATGAAGTGAGCTCAAGGCCAGCCTGAGCTGCACAGTGAGACCCTGTTTCAAGAAAGCTTTAGGGGCCAAGAACACTCAGATAATGTACTGGCTCTTGAGTGAACTGTTGCCACTGGGTGATGGGTAGCCATCCAGGGTGGACAGGCAGAGATAATGAACATTAGACTATGGAGCTTACCCACAGGAAACACTGTCCCCCTTTTCAATGGGTGGGGGATTGTACTGGAGACTGACCCAGGGCTTTCACACCAAGCTACATTCCTTCCCTTATTTTTTGAGACAGGGTCTTGCTGTGTAGTCCAGGCTGATCTTGATTACAGATGTATACTACTACAGCTGGCAAGAGGCAAGAGAGGGCTTTGTTAAATTGCACACTTTGGGTTTGAATTTGTGATCCTCTTGCCCTGGCTTTCCAAATAACTTAGATTACAGGCTTGTGTCACCACAGCCAGCCAAAACCACACTTTCGGGGCTGGTGAGATGGCTCAGTGGTCTAAAGCACCTACTTAGAACAAGTTTAGCAAAAACACATGGACCACGGTTCAATCCCCAGCACCACATGCCAGCCAGCCCCGCCCCCTGGTGGGCTGAGCTGGCCACACACACACACACACACACACACACGCGCAAAAATA